AATACAGCGAACGCCAGCGAGGTTCCGCGGAAACTGAGCTTTCGACTTGGTTTCACCATCCGGATGCAGCCGAAGCTACGAGGTGATGGGACCAACGTTCGTTATGTTTCTGTGAATTCTCTCATCGCTGAACCAATCATGTACAAGGAAGGCCCAGCGACTCGCACTTTTGACACTGTCTGATTGGTCCCATCAGCTCGTAGCGTCGGCTTCCTGCGGGCTTAAGCCAAGGTCACGCTGTTTATACCTCATACAAAAAGGCAGTCCGCAGACATCAGACACCGCGATATCCGTGGTTCGGATACCGTGTGCCAAGCATCTCTTTGCAACCTCGTTGCCACGCGGCATTCGAAGCACAGATATCGTGGTGACTCCCCTTCGAACCTGTCAGCAGACTGTATTTTGTATGAAGCACAAGCATGCAGTGTACTTCATACAAAAGATTAAAGACCCCAGCTTTAAGGTGAAACGAATTATGGGCAAATCTACAAATATGGCGCCCCTTGTACTCGTCTTATTTTTCTGTAATTATTATTAAACCCATATTATTACGTCAGAGTCACGCCTAGGTATTCTGTACAGGACTTAGCATCATGCGACGTTTGTGCGCACCGAGAAAATGCACATGTTTGCTCCCTCTCGAAAGCTGCCTGCAGTGATGTGGTGTATAGGCACAGGCTCAAGTGCGTGACTTCGAAAGTGCTTCCCTTGCGCGAATACTAGAGCAACGAAGCATTTTGCGGAGAAACGCTTTCGCGCCCTTACTTTTGGTAGCGGAGGCATACATTTAGTGAAAGGTAGTATGGGCTTACGGTCAGAGACTATCGGATCACGTTCGCGTGCAACTGCCGGGAGACGTAGACACTCGAACGCGAGAAATTCGATAAGCGATTTCTGGTCGATATTTTAATTCACATCACGAATCCCCGTTTCACGGACATAAAAAAGCCCTTACGACCGGAGAGCCTTTATAGATTCGTCAAACCAGCTTGCAATCCTTACTCTGCAGGTGTCACTCCCTCGGGTCGCGCTATCTGAATGTCTATAAAATACCAGTGAAATAAGGGTATAACGATACTTCAACTTTGTCCGTTGTTTCAAGATTCAGGCAATTTCAAGGTAAGTACCTAAAGTGTGTTCAACTGTTATATATAACGCGGGAGCATCGGTCAGAGAGACTGCCTGCTTCATGTGCTGGCGTATTCTAGCAGCTCACGCCACTGTCACACTCGCTGTATGAATATGATGAACGATGCCTGCTTAAGCGGTAACATAAAAAAAAAAAAAGTTTCCTCTTGAACTAGATTCTACCGAAAAACCCAGTATAACTTTTCACTATCTGGGTTATGGAACTGGAAATATGTTTCTGGAAACCCTAAATCCAAATTGTAGACAAAGGAATAATTTCTGATAACCTGAAATCCAGAGAGAATCCAGATAGATTTCCACTTCCATAATCCGGATAGCAGAAAGTTATACTGGGTTTTTCGGTAGGGCTCGAGCTATGTTGAACATATCTAAAACCAAATACGGAGGCTACGAAGAGGGGACAAGCACAAGACGTCTTGGGTTTTAGAAATGTTTAACTTTAACCAGCTCGCCTACCGATATTACGGTATCTTTAGTGTGGACTTTTTGTTTGTGTTTACACTATGTTTGTTTTTATCAGAAAATGATGTATAGCCAAATTTTGATAATCATTGGATGCTTTAAATGCGTCGAATGTAAACATCAACTGCTGAGGTTCGCACCGCCGTATCAATGATGATAGCATAAATACCGTTGCAATCGCCATGCTTTACAGAGTGAAAGAAAAAAATTAAAAATAAAACCGACAGTTAAAAATTAAAAAAAAAAAGAGGAGTAGATTGTGTCGGGGAGTGGCGACAGTATATAAGAAAAAGGCGCTTTATTCTCTGCAGATCATCGCTTTGATCGTTAGGCGGCGGTAAAATCGGTTTCGGATACCGTTCACGTGTTATTTTATTCAACAGTTGAGCGCGCTGTACGCGCAAGCCCTAGCATTCAGGTCCTACAGTTCTAGATTGAAAGGGCCGTAAACACGCGCTCTAAGCGCCACCGCCGCGGAGTGACGTCAAAGATACTATACCCGTTTTCACCTCAAGAACCATAGTAAAAAAAGTCCGGCGCCACGTGGCCCGTTACTAATTTCCCCCTTTATGTGGATAATTAAGAGATATGTAGGTGAATGTTAGATTATATATATGTTATCTTATCCAGACTTACACGTTTCAAACCCCAAAAGCATCGCTTTTTCCTCCGACAACCAAATATCGTAAAAACTATTTCGCGCCGCGTATGAACAATACGCAAAACTTGCTTTTTTCTTGAGGTGAAAACGGATATAGTTGATCTATGGATGTGAAAAAGAAAGAATCACAGAGGCACTCCTGCACCCCACCGCCAGTCGCGCTTTTGTAATTAAGACATACATATGTATAGAGTATATATAAAAAGTTGTCCTTAATGACATGGTCAAAACTTAAAGAAGCATAGTCATGCAGTTTATGATTCGACGACGTCCGGAGCCATTTACAATGAAAGAGTTGGCCAATAGACGGAGCCTGTTGCCCGCTAGAACGAGCCCAATTCATAAGAACACATCGTGGCATGTTTTTTATCGAGACCATACCTACAGGGTCTGTTATCCGTCAGCGACACAAGATGGCGAAGGGAACATACCATTTCCCGGTTGCCAGGCTCCCGACTCGGGTTGCTAGACTGTCGGCATCTCCGAAAGGTTGCCGAACTCTCGCAGTGTAAACGGATCTGACGACGTCAAGGGCTCTGCCGACGTCGCATTATATACGCCCTCTTTGGGGGGAAATTGCAAGTTTGCGTGCCGGCCAGCCAGCCTCACATGGTCCAGTGGACCGTGCAAGTGCTATTGTTACAGTCATGCGCCGTGACAACACGGAGATTATGCGATCTATGAAAACTAGACGTCGCGGTTACTAAACAAATGGCATAATAAAAATGATAAAGAAAACCTCCGCAAATGAGCATAATGGCCTCACCGTGTTTCCTGCGCCTCTTCAGAGATGCACATGTGGCACACGCCGTCATTCTGCCGGCTGAGCGGATTATCTTGGGCGGCACGCGAGATATGTCACGTGACCCTGACCAATCTTTGAGCGGGTGCTCTTGACGGTGCAGGGAAACCAGTGCGTAGACCATAACTGCCGAAATGGCGCGGAGTGTCGTAAACTCCATGATATAACAGTTCATAAGACTTCAACAGGTCGTTTACCGTCTATAGTACAGGCGACCAATATTGGACAGAGAAGATAACATTTCTTCGTGCTTTCGCAATTTCTTTAACAACCTCGTTAAAAAAAAAAAAAAAAAAAAAAACTTGTCAGAGACCGGGACGCAGCTGTGCCCGTCGATCGAATGTATAACAGCTCTTGCTTTAGAGTTGACTTCGAATGAGGAGATCACTTTGCCTTCATACCCGCTCTTCAGAAATATGATGGACATTCGCCCTCACTCGGGCTGTGCTTTGCGACTGCGTTCGTATAGTCTTGGAGTCTTTGCGGGGTTTATATAACAAACCAAGCACATATATAGCGTATATATGACCAAACCAAGAGCTTCTCGCGAGCCCGGGGAGAGAAATGGAACCCGATACGTCTGGAGACGTGTCGAGAGAGGAAAAGTACACCGTGACGTAGAGGAAAGTCGCGAGACATCTAAGGCCATGCGTAGTTACACATTGTCCCTTTGTTGGCGACACTCTCATAAGTATAATCAAATCGCTCCCAGTATTCCCTCACGAATTCGGTTGTTTGCGCCTCCTACTGAAAACCCCAACATCATCCGAGGCTTCAAGCAGCAGCCAAGTACGTCCAACAGTACTTTCTTTCGTCCATCAATACTCATAGGAAGCACAACAAACCACACAAGTACGCCACGCCATCCCTGCGACTCGTAGCTATCTCAAGGCTCTCAGTAGGAGGAGCAGCCCAAAAATGATCGCTCCATCTTCGTTTGCATCTCAAATGTTTCCCTCTCAATCGTTTACTTTCCTTATGGTCCGTATCGCACAAAGCAGCGGCCCATCATCATCCAGCCACGTGCCATTAGGACGAAAAGCGGAGCAATTATGGCACGCAATGCCGGCACGCGCCCGCTTTGCCGTCAGCAGATAGCGCTCGTCGCCGGCATTGCCAATCGGAGCAGGCAGCCCACAGTCCTGGCGTTAAATGGCCTCAAAGCAGCCGAGCACGACCGGCGTGGTTCACGGACGACAGGGCCCGCGGACCCACTTTTGGCCGTCGAGCAGCCTCGGAAATGTCGCCATGTGTGGACAAGAGCGCTCGGGAAAGCGCACGGGGAAAGGGCGCGCGCGCCGCCGCTTGAAGCCGTGCTCCGCGCGAAGCACGCACGACCCGGCTGTGCACCCGGCGGCTGGCCCCCGCGCCATCCACGTTTCGGCGGCCCAGCGGGTCGCCAGGGGCGCCGTGAGGGCAAGCCGTACGCTATGGCCGGGAAAGCGGCCGGCTAAAAATACGGTACCCGGATGTTTCGCTCTCGGTGCGGTAGACGAGATTCCGGGACGGCTTTGGGCGTCCGATTTCGCTGGATATCCGACTTGACGTTCGCCTTGCATTCAACGACTAATAAGGAGCCACTTGCCTAAGGAAAAAAAAAAAAAATCGTCTGGTTCGGCCCGCTTGAACAACGTTCGGTGAGCGAACCGCAACTACTATCCGGTGGGCACATCCTTCTGCGGCTCCCTCGGCAGGATGTCGGAAAGCTGGTAACATGCCACCATTCTGGAGTACCCCCGGCAGCCCGGTGTCTGGGAGCGCGCTGCGCGTGACTGCCGGCGGGCACGTGCTCACCCCGACGCGCGAACCCCCCACAGACGGGGGCCAGCCCCGTGGTCACCGAGACACTCCGGCGCCGGGTCCCGTCGCGCGCTGAGGCGGCGAGCGGGGGAGCCGGCGTCGTCGTCGTCTCGTGCGTGGACTCACCGTGAGCGCAGCCATGAGCGTCCGTCAGCGTGCCGGCATGGTGGCCAAAGACACGGTCGGCTGGCAGCGCTTTCTTTTACAGCGGGCTTCCCGAAACGTCACCGGGAAACGAGGCCAGGCAGGGGGCGCCTCGCCGGGGGCCGCCTCCCCTCGCCCCCCAAGAAGCGACAGCGGAGGCCGCCGGGCGGCAATCTTTAATGGGACTCAGCGGCCCACCGAGCGCTTCTTGCGCTGGTAGCCGTTGTATGTCTTGATCACGTCCTGCCACCAGGATGCCAGCTTGATGAAATTGTCCTTTTCGCGCTGCGGCAGTCGCGACACTTCGGTGCCGGCTGGTGGCCAGCTGGTAAACCAGTAGTCCTGGTACTGGGGCACTGCGGTGGCCTCCTGGCGCTTGGCCATCCTCCGGAGTGGCACGAGGAAGGCGGGTCCCGGGCGCACGGGCTCCGGGCCGTTGAGCCACGGCGGCAGAATCACCACCACGTCCTTCTTGGCGCGGCGCTGCTCACAACCGCCGCCGGCGCCGCGTCGCTCACAACCGCCGCCGGCGCCGCGCTGTTCACGGCCGCCGATGGGCCCCAAGGGCCCGTGGAACTCGCGCCAGTGGCTCCCGTTTTTCGGGTTCAGTGAGTTGTGGTGCCGGAAGAAGCCCCACGCTGCGAGAAACTTGTCCACCGGTGGGCGCGTCTTGGGTCGCGCTATGGACTTGTGGGTCGCTGGACGTGGGCGGAGGAGACCTGTCGGACACTGCTCTGCTGGAAGGGGCTTGCGCGTTGTGGATTGCACGCTGCGTTGGGGTGTCGTTAGGCGAGTCATTATACGGTACGTAGACCGCGATGTCACCGTCTTCCTTGTCTTGGCGTGTTCATGGGAGGTTCTAGTCCTGACCACGACGGCTGCGCACTGGCCCACGTGGCTAATTTTCTTTGTCGGCTTGTGTCTCCCATGATCCCCGCTGCAGGACACCGGCACCTTTTCGTGGGTCGGACTAGTGTGCTCGTGAGTAGCCCTAGAAGTGGAGGAGCTAGGGGTGCTCGCCTTGTGACTTGGTTGCGGACATTTCGTGGTAGTCGTCGTACGAGTTACTTTGGTCTTGCCGGCTGTCGACTTCATTGAGGAGATTGTCCTAGGCGTGCTCACCGGGTGTACATGGGCCACGGAGGAGGGCGTGAGCACAGGCTTGTGCACCTGATGATGGCAGTGGGTAGTGCATGCGACCTCAAGGGTCGTACTCGCGTGGGTATGGGTGGTGGGACGGTGAGTCTCATGGGAAGTACTCAAGTGCACATGTGTCTTAGTCGTCTCCCTATGGGTAGTGGTTTTATGCTTATGGGTTGTGCTGTGTGGCTCATGGTCTTTGGAAATGGCACACCCTTGGGCTTCCACCTTCTGAGTAACGCTGGGCTTCGGAGTAGTAGGGCTGGTCTGCTTGTACGTACTGATGGTGGGCGCGTGCGTGCTGCTACTTTGCTGCGTGAGATGCCTGTGCGTGCCGTGAGTTCCAGTGCTTAGATGTTGATGCGCCGCAGCGAGCGGCTTCATCTCGCAGTTGGGCTTCGCGGCAGGGGGCGTGCGGATGGTAGTGCTCGTCCTCCGGCTGTGCGGTCTGCGCGTCGGTGTGAAGCAGATCGTTTCGAGCGTTGTGGACTGGGTCGTCTGCTGGCGGGGCCGGACCGTGATGCAGAAGAGCGTCGTCTTGTCGTCGTAGTCCTCGTCGGGATACGCTCTGTGAAAAAGTTTGCCCAGGAAGCCTCTGGGTTGGATCCCGCCGATGCGGTACAGGGCCTCGTCACGGCTGTCATCAGCGTAGTCGTACTGGGCAGCCTGACCTGCAAAGTCGTTGGCAACCTGCATCATGCGCACGTCTTTCTTCTGCGGCCGGCGCCGGCCGTACAGAGCCTCCAGCCATGGGTCGGGCACGGCCGCAGACGCGACCAACGCCGCGACCCAGGCCGCTAGGAACAGCTCGCAGCGCATCGGGCCAGCAGCCGCGAGCCGTTCTTCTGGAAGCGTGGCTACACGGCTGCCCAATAGACACGCGGCTTTCAGTCTATAGTGTGCTTCGTCGTCGTCGTCACGCGGGCGGGCCTCGCGCTGTCGGTATACCGAGGGCGCTGGCCGCGCACGCTCACACTGGCTAGACTCGGGGTCAACTTTCTGTGGCAATGCAATCAAAAGTAGGAGCGCTTGCGCTCGCCCAAGGTGCCTTCATGTGCGCTTTGCTTGGGGTAGAGTGTACTAGAAAGGACGAGTGGGGCCACTGGAGTGCTATTTTGGTACCTCCGCATGTGAAAAAAAAAAGAAAAAAGAAACGGATAATCCAAGGCACTCCGCTCGTAGCGCCCTCTCGGGCGCTACGAGCGAAGTGGTTTGGATTAGCCGCTTTTTATGAAAAACGCGTTTCGTTCTAACGCCAAGCTCGACCGGCACACTGGTCAAGGTCATAGAAACGATAGAACGCCGGACTTTATTTTTTATACAACCTAAACGTCAGGCGTCACGTACATAAAGTCACCGCGACCTGACTTGTCGTAACAACGCCATGCGACATCAGGACGACGCCTTGACGTCAGCGTCGTCATCGACGTTGAAAACGTGCGTTACACGACATTAAGACTGCGTTCTGACGTCATATTGTGTTGACAACGACGACGATGTCAACGCATGACGACGACAACAACGTCACGGGACGTCAAGATGACGGCGTCCTTGTCAGTGCAACGCCATAAGGACGCTTGGTGTCAGTTCGTTGACGTCGTTGTCGCCATGACGCAACTTGACGTCACGAAGACATCCCGACAGCTTCACGACGTCGACGTCGTCGTCGACGACGTTACACGACGTCAAGACTTCGTTGTGACTGCGCGTCGACGTTGATGCTGGCGAAGGCGGCGACGTTACACGCCGTCAAGGCTTCGTCGTGACGTTGACGTTCATGATGACGTCAGGACGACGTTGACGTGACGTCATAGTGATGTTTGACGTTGTGTGGGGCGTCGACGTCAACGTCGGCATCGACGACCACGTCCACGTCGTCCTCGATGCGGCGCGCGACGTCACGACCGCGCCACAACGGCGACTTGATGTGGCGTAACGGCGTCGTCCTCAAAGCGACGTCACGACCGCGTTACAACGGTGATGTCTCCAAACGGCGTCGTCCTCGACGCGACGCGATGTCACGACGGACTTAGGACAGCATCTTGGCGTCGCGTAACGTCGTCGTGTCGTGGTGCTTTGACGTTACTAGACGTTACCTCTGAAGTCAAAATCATAAGAAATACAGCACAGCCGCTGAGGGGCTATATTCCCCAATGACCTTGACCTGTGTCGTTGCTTGATCGCAGCGAAGGTGGCGTTGCGATCGAAGTGGCTTGGTTCCACCTGATCGTTTTCCACATTTTGAGGTGCAACTCAGACTTGTACGTAATCCGTTACAAGTAACGAAATTACTTGTAATCCCTTACATTTATCAGTAATTTAGTAACGGAATAATTACATATTTTCTAGAGTAATTTTAAAGTAATTCCCTTACATTTTTGACGTAACGGATTCCTTGTAATCCGTTACTTTTTTTGTCAGAACCGCCCCCCCCCCCCGCCCCCATTCTAAATAAAGGTTGTTTTCTTTTTTTCTTCATTTTTGCAAAGTCGAACGCAGTGACACTGTCACGCGAATCGACCAGCGCAAAGGGAGGCTTGGCACTCTTCAGTTCCGCACAGCCTTTTTTTGCAACACCAAGCCCCTGAATCTTTCATTTTTTTAGACCCTAACATCAATGTCAAAAAATCCAAATGAACAATTCACGAGAAAGAAAAAAAGGGGGGGGGGGGGGGGGGGGCAAGTTATTTCCGCATTTTTTTTAGTCCCTTTGTCTTTTCTTTGCGATCGAAGACGGGGAGAGGAGGACACCAAGTGATTGTGCGCCTCTTCGAGAAGCTCGAGGCGGTAAATGCACTGAAAAGAATTAACAATGTCCTTCTCGGATATAGTGACTACGGCTATTTTCATAATGTCACAACAGGAGACAAAGGCTCCGTCTACCCTACCCTTTTTGTGAGTCAGCTTTTTGCGAGCATTTAGAAAATGGTAACAGTCTTCCTTTCTTCTTCTTCCTGTTTTGCCCCAGCAGGACGCATCTTATCTCAAGCAGATATTTTCACAAATAAAACATAATGGTGGCTGACGTAGACTTGATATTCTGGGCTTGAGGAGAGAGTGAAATTCGTGAGTGGGACCATAGCGCGGCTTACTTATGGCGAATTCGCGTGGTTCTTTCCGCGCGCTCTCGAGCGCTCCTTCCAGAGCGCGCGAAATCGGGAGGTTGAAAGGGAGTGCTGTGGCCTGATCGGGTGGTTCATTCCGAGGGCGCCTCTCCCTCTCAGAGCGCTCTCTGGCACTCCGACTGTAGCCGTCGGAGTACGGAGCGGCGCAGGCGTCACGTGGTAGCTGGACGGTGATCACGTGGTTTTGTTGACGATGGCCGGCTATGGTCTGTGGTGGTGTGCGGGGCCCGGCATGACGGCGATTGATGTGGGGTTTACAAAGTGCTTGTGCATTCGACGGTGCGAGAATTACAACGGACGGGACGACATTCGTTTGCGACCGTAACAGGAAAAGCCGACGTGTGAAGTGTTTCCAGTGCTTTCACAAGATCGTTCATCTCACGGCGGTGAATCTGCTAAGCCTAACCGACGACGAAACAGCTCGCAGAGCTCGCCGCTGTTTTACCGGATTTTGTAGTCGCTTCAAGAAATTTTTGAGGTTTGGTAAAAGTGCATTCAAAGGTTTGTGTTGTAAAATAAAGGGAGAGCCGAATATAATGCACTGTGATTTGTGTCACATTGCGATGCTTGCACGATATTTCGCCGTGAGAAAAATGCGGTTTATTAACAATTTTATATTCGCCTGCTCAGTCGTAGGCAAGACCGCTGTCGCAGCGCGTTCACTGTCGAAAACGCGATGAGTTGACAACTGTTTCCAAGCGTTGGCTTTCGTTCCGTTCTGCAAAAATCAATTCGCATACTGTTTTCTTTTTTTTTTTTTTACATGCCGATGAGTAAAACAATTTACGTCAATACCGTTATTTCATCACGTTGCGAGCATATATTTTGCT